TTTTTTAATATCGTATACAGCATGTTCCACTTAATTTGTTTAATAAAAAAATTTTTCAATAACTTTCTCTTAATTTTTCATAATCTCTTTTCCAATTATTTATTAAAAACTTGATTTTATATCGTTTGATATAAAATAAAGAGCAATGTATCTGTCTATAAGAAAAATAAAATCAATGTAACAATATCACTCGAGATAATACGTACGCGTATAAAAATTAACAATAAACACATAACAACCCGGTACATGCATAAATATAGAATCTAATATGTGTAAATTTATATCGTTAATTCATTAATTATTTCCAAAAATTTAATAATTCATTTTAATAATTAAATCATTAATTCTAATTAATCTCTAAAGGATGTTATTAAAACGTTACATAATGTTTATAAGAAACTCCATGAAATGGATATAATATTTGATAATATTATTTAGCGGTATCGAGATAAAAGTGCATCCGCGCCAGTCTTATTAAAGTCTTATTTGCCATAATTATAATCATGAGTATTTTTTAAGATAAGTGATAAATCTTTTAATTCCATGCATATTAATTTTATTATTTAAAACGGCTTAATTTTCATTTAAGCAAATAAAAAAAGTAATTACTCTGATATTATTTACGCTTTTGACAATAACCTCCTTTATAAATTTAATTTACATGGCAAATTAATTTAGCCAAACAAACAATTATTAATTTATTAATTTTATATTCTCTCGTGTGTGCGCTGTTTGTAAAATTAAACTTTTACTATAATCGATAGCTGTAACTTTATTGGGTTATTTTCTGGTATATGATGAAAGAAAAATATTAAAATGTTTAATTTTTATTCAATTTTGATCGAAAAATTTCAATAAACAAAGATGTAACTAAAATTGCGTATATAGCGATCGTGTTTCGTGTTACATTCTATCGTCTCATCTCAGTTTTGTTTATATACAATAGTTAACAATAACATTCAGAAAACTTCTGTATGATATTTTTGTTATTCAAATAAATTTATTTATATTTGCTATATTTTTATTTCATCAATATTTTTCACGTGATACAATTTGCGAAAAATACTTTGCACTAAAGTTCCTAACGTCAGTCATTAAAAAAAAAAATGGCATACTTGAGCGTGTGCGAACACGATGCTAATTATTTATTAAGCGAGGTTCTTAGGCTTGATTACCTAATCTCTCTATCGTCTCCGCTGCAGTTGGGTCGGATTGCCGGCCATTTAACGAAACGAAGCGAAAGAAAAAAGAAGTAATCGTGACTTGCAACGCGAATGCAACGTCGACGGATATAGTGTTTGTCGGCGTGCCGTGTATCAAATCTAGTTCAGTCACGTGGCGAGACAATTTATCCGGATGAGCCAGGGCTTGCCTGCCTTTTCCTCGCTCTTACCTAGAAATAGCTCGTTGAAATCGCCCTGTCCGCCGATGAAAACGCCATAGTGTATGTTGAGCTCGAAAAAGCGTCCCGGTAGTTGGGACCTCGTCGTGTGTATCACGTCGATCTGCAGGCTGATGTTGGCCTCGCGTCTTGTCAAATTAACCTCGTGCCAACTGAGGTCGTTCAGTGTCAGTCCGCGGGCGCTCGCCATCTCATTCTCACCCGCGCCCAGATTAATGTGAACCTGCGGCAAAAAGCAGTAGGAGCGACGCTCGTAAAAGTCAGTCTCATTTTTACCGGAGTTATTGTGAACGCGCCGCTACCGCAAATGGGTTTTATACGTACGCGCGGTACAAATGCATTCTCGTTTTGTTTTTTCTCGGTCTTTTTTTTTTTTTCCGAGGCCGGTTGTTCCTCCTCGAAATAGAGCTTCGGTTTCCGGTTCCACCATAGACCCCGGTGCGTTTTATGCCCTTTCCACGTCAGTCAGTCAGCGTCGTGTAGCGCGTAAAAAATATTATGAAAACGCGTAAAGAGTTTTTACCGGTGAACGGCGAAAGGAAGAGATGTACGCGTACACTTTTAGGAGATTTAATGAAGTAACCGACGCGCGCAAAGCCGCTGGAAGCGTCCTTCATCATAATGCTACAAGGTAGTAGCTTAGATCTTCTTTGCGATCCCGTCGGTGCGATCAAAAAGTTTTGCACTTTCCGTGAAATAATTATATCGCGACCACACGAAACAAAAAAAGGTCATAAATCGGTAAAAGTCCATAAGCGATAAAAAAAAATATAGAAAAAAGATTATTCAGAAAAAATCTATCTCAGATAATAAACATAGCTGCATTTTGAAATAAAAGCAGTATTGATGTTTTCAATATTAATATTTTTTGTAAACAGGCAAATTGAGAAACGTGAGAATTTCATTTTATCCGATAAAAAAAAAAATCATTTGTTGGGAATTCATAATTTCGATGGAAGCGTTCACTTCTTCGTTTTTCGACAAATAGATATAAGTACGCGAAAAAAAAGTCCGGGTTGCCAAAGTGGAGGTTGTACCAAGCTCGGCATACGAGGTTTCCTGGCGCCAGTCATGCCCTGCAAATTCTCCGACAGCGTGAGCTGACAGGAATCCGACAGCTCGAGGTTTCGTGTATTCCGTCTGCACTTGAGGCACTCGCACAATGAGTTTGCACACCGAGAGAATGAAGAAAGCAGACAGCTAGACAGACAGTGAAAACGGCTCTCGGTCTCGTGCGAAAAATAAATGTCGAATCCCTTCGATAGCTCGGCATCCCCATATTTCGCCAGTCTCCCTAATGAAGGAAATGTGACGAGACGAACGACGATTTTAGCGACGATATGTTGATAGAAATCCTAATCCTGTCGCGGAATATGATTCATCTTGGTAATGATTTTATACGTTTGTAGATAATGTGTAAGAATTATATATACGAAATACATATACATCGTTATTCCCTCAAAATGCGTCATGCGGCGGCAGTTACTGCAGCTACTTTGTAATCGCGCTACCGGGGATTCCTAGTTACGCGTGGTGGATTTACAATACATCCACTGGGGTATAAATTCCAAACTCCCCGTGCATATTTAGATTCACGGAAGTCACCTAAATCAACCGTGTTGCTGCCTGTGCTACACTGTCATTCGGCATTGTAAATAGTTATCGTTGTAGCATGTTTGATAAATTTTCTTATTTCCCAAATGGATATTGTCCAAAATATTTATGCCAAATTTTATGCCAAGGTATGAAAAAAAACAAGAGGGACACCCACAAATAATTTACTTAACAAAAGTTATAATTTATAATCTACAGATTATTGCACTGTTAAGTAATAAATATTTTATTGTTAAACTGAAATATTAAATTATTTATATTTAACAAAGAGAATATGCAAACGTAGGAGAGCCGCGATGTGAATATATTTCCTTCCTGGGGATATCGAGCAGAATATGGAATACAGGATATAGGTGGTGTCATAGATAAATGCCCTTCTCAAGATATACTTTCTATAGTTTTGCCACTTAAACGCGCCCTATGTTTCAACATGGTGTAATGCATTATCGAGTTACCGGATAGTATACGATGCGCTTTAGTCAGAGGTGAGGTAGCAGGGTCCTGATAAAGAGGCTTTAATCGCGACCCGGATCGAACGACCGAGACTTATAGCATTCCGGCACGATGTCGCCACGGTATTCTTCGAGCGCGTCTCGCTTGATCCCCCAACGTAAGAGATCGCTCGAGGAACGTCCGTTCTTCTCTTAATGAAAAGTCGATCGTGCGAGACTAAAGTCACGGTGGCGGCGCAGCGCCCGTGCTCGAGTCATCCCGACGGGCGACTCTTTCGATTTTCGGCACATGGCAGCGTGGCACATCACCCGGTTTTACGATCGACCCGGTGATAAAGGCGCGAGCTTCCGCGAGTTGGGCGCACTCGAGTGTGACGGCAGTGTCGAATGCGGCGATGCCGGATGACTATGCAGGACCAACCCCCATTAATATACATAAGCGCGCGAGACGAGACACTTTGCAGAATGTAAACGCGTACCTTTGTACACAGAGATAGAGATAGAGAGAGAGAGAGAGAGA